CTACCAAGAGTCATGACTGAACAGAAAAAAATACTCCTCTTGCCACATTCATTAAGATAAGAGACATAAAATAGCCACATTCATATCCAATAGAATTTTTAGTAGTCTGGTCTTAGACATCTGGACTACCCTATTTTAAATAAGATATTCAAGGACACGTGAGTAGCTCAGGTTTAGCTTCTGATTTCAGCTCAGGTCATGATCGCACGGTTTGTGAGTTTGAGCCCCACATCAGGCTCTGTGCTGGCAGCACAGAGCCAGCTTTGGAGCCTCTCTTTCCCTCTCTCTCTCTTTGCACCTCCCCGGTGCTTTCACTCTCTCTCAAAAATAAATAAACATTAAAAAAATAGGATATTCATACCAATAGTATTTAATACCATATATTCTATATAAAATTTGAAGAGATATACAGGCTTCAATAAGTTCTTAGACAGTTTCCTGAATAATAGTGTAGTCATCTTAATGTTGTATCCAAGTAATTATTCACTCAACAAACATCTGAACAATTGCTTGGAGCCATGCACTTTGCTAGATACTAAGAATACAGACATGGTTCCTGCCTCAAGTACCCTGCACCCTTGTGGGGGAGATTAGAAATGGCAGTAGGTACAGAAGTATGATATGGACCACCGTGGAAGTCTGTACAAAGTAGTGAGTAAACGGGGGGAACCAGTAACTGGGCAAGGGGACAGCAGAGCAAAGCATTTCCAGAAAGGTTTGGAGGAGTTAATTATAGACTTGAACTGACCATGCAAATCATTACGGCTCGACCACAGCAAATATGAGGGTCAGGCAACAGAGATGAGCCAGAGAAGTCGTTTTAAGGTATGGCATGGATGGCCTTCATGTCATGCAAAGACTTTTAGAGTTTGTTGTTGATGATCCACTAAAGGTTTACAGTCTTTAGGAAGGACATTACTAGTTTTATATATCTGCAAGCCCCTCTCCTTGAGATTTGATTGACAAAGAGAAAATATGGATCCTGGAGACCAGGAAAGAGATTACTGCACTAGGCAAGGCAGGAGATAAGAAGGCTGGAGGAAGCAGGGCAACAGCAGTGACGATAAAGAGAGGGAGGGATGTGTTGAGATGGATATTAAGGATGCAAAGTACGTAGGTCTTGATTACTCTTTGGATGTAAAAAGTAAAAGCCAAGCAGGTAGTGTAGTCACCAGCTTCAGATATAGTGATCTAGTGGACAGTCTCTGCTCTCGCTCCCATGGTGGGAATACGAGAGAAACAGGCTTATTTAACAAGTTGGTGAATTCAGGGCTTAGCAAGTGTATTAAAAAAGAGAGCTCTTGCTAGAAATACATTTGAGTCAACTGGTACTTAATCTTAGAATCATTATAACATTTAATAACAACATTGAGTATTGATTCTCCTATGTGCTTCATTTTAACAAACTAAGCATGACTTAATAACCAACATACCTAATCTCTAAACGCATAATAAAGTAGCGTTTGGCTTGATGAGGTAGAGTTATTCTCATTTGTAGATGTAATGATTTCATAGATGCGTGTGTGTTTTGGTCTTAGACTAGTTAAAAATAACGATAGTGCTTAACAGCACCTGAGATGTAGAGCCTGTGGCTCTTTGCATTTTTTTTTTTTTTACATTTTTATTTATTTTTGAGAGACAGAGTGCAAGCAGAGGAGGGGGCAGAGAGAGAGAGAGGGAGACACAGAATCTGAAGCAGGCTCCAGGCTCTGAGCGGTCAGCACAGAGCCCGACGCAGGGCTGGAACCCATCAACTGTGAGATCAAGACCTGAGCCGAAGTCAGACACTTAACCGACTGAGCCACCCAGGTGTCCCTGCAATTTTTTATTAGTAGCCCACATAAATTAAAGGTTAGGCTATAGTCTAGCTACATAGCAATGTGAAATTGTCCAGCTTCCGATGCGTATTATAAGCACATTGAATATTTTCAGTGTTCATTCATTTTTCACTTCATTGAGTGTAATAGTTCTGCTCAATCTCTTGACTTATTCATAGTGTAACTGAGTTTTTCAAAATTCTAATTCTAAAAACATAATTCATCTAAGATGTGGAGTAATGTGTTTGTCATTTGCAAGATTTTTCTACCTAAAATAACCTCTACTTTTCTAGGTCTTAAAAGATGCTGATAGGCTGCTGGTAGGTTGGATGAATGATGAATGGATGCATACACAGATAATAGTTTATGGTTATGTAAATTGAGAGGTGGCAGTATTATACTCTATGGAGGTTAAGGGCTCTTGTTCTATTGTTTAATGACTAGATGGCTTTGCCACATGCCCCCTAAATCCTCTGTGCCTCAGTTTCCTTATTGATAAGACTAAAAAAAATAATGATAGTGCTTCTATCATAGAGTGTTTGTAGTGATTAAATGAGAGAATGCATATAAAAGACTTAGCACTGTGCTTGACACTCCAAAAATTCTGGCAAGGAGGAGGAAGAAGGAGAGTTGTTAACTGGAGATCCAATAAATTCAGATAGGGGTGTATTTTTTAATTTGCTTACCACAGTGACTTAGGTGGCTTGAGCAAGAATATTTCATCCTTAATGTTCAACATCCTTATTTAGGTGACATTTGGCAAAAGGAACTGAATTACATGATCTATAGTACCTTGAGTTCTTTGATTGAATCTCTAGGAATAAATAAAGCTCTTTTCAGTGTGCTAATGAAAACATCATTAAGATAACATTAGTCTCCTAAATAAGACATTTATCTTTAAATATGATTATCATTCCCACTTTAATAGGAAATCTTTTCGCATATAGATAACCCAGAAAAAAAAAACCTACTTAACCACAAAAAATACTAAACCAAATTAACTAGAAATAGGAAAAAAAAAAAAAAAAAAACAGGGTTGTATTTTCCTCTGCATTTAGAATTTTTTCCAACCCCACTTTCACATGTCTGTAGTTTTCCAGCCTCTGACAAATTTCAGAATCCGCTAAAGCAGTATTCATGCCACTATGGTAAGCATCACATACTTTGTCCAAGTTTTAAAGCACTATTGAGCTTTTGGGGTATTTTTGCCCTGAGGAAGATTTATGTGGGAAATTGGCATATTTAGTGGAGTATTTTATATGACATTACTATTACAGTTACTAGTTATTAGATTTTGTACACAGGCACACACAGCTATTCAGATCCATAGAAGTGAATGGGAGTCCTGAAGAACTTTCCCCCATCTTTCACCTCTGCTGCTCTAATCCCAGTCCCCATTCATCATCACCATCACCCTTTACCTGGTCTATTGCAGTGAAGCACTGAGCACTGGGTACCTTCTTTGCTTCCCCCCCCCCCCCCCCCCCCCGCCTTGGTCATCCACTCCCATCTTCCACACAGCTGCCAGACACATTCTGTCGTGTCACTCCTCTGCTTAATAATAATAAAAATAACGATGCTTCCCTGTGGACCCACGTCCTACCATCTAGACATCACCTTGCACTATTCTTTCCCTGTCTCTCACCCTACTCCTGCCACACTGGCTTTCTCGTCCTTCTAGAAGTGCATCTACTTATACCCTGCCTAGAACTTTCATACCAGCTCTTCTCTCTACCTGGAGATCTTCCCTCCAAATCTTCTGTGAATGCCACCCTGTCATTTAGGCTCAATTAAAAGACTATCTCTTCAGAAATACCTTTGCCAACCATGATGTATATTTTGAAATGAATATGTTTTCACTTGGAGAGTCAAAAAAACATCACAGCTGGGTTTAAGATATGTTCACTTGAGAAACAAACATGTACCATCATCTAAAAAATTTCAAATTATTTATTGAATATTACGTAACATTGCTTAGTATTTTCCTATAGATTCTCTGTTCTTTCATGGTGCAACTTAGACACATACTGGCTGTCTTAGTCCATTCAGGCTGTTACAACAGAGTACCAGAGATTGGGTGGCTTATAAACAACAGAAATATATTTCTTACAGTTTTGGGGGCTGGAAAGTCCAAGATCAGAGTGCCCACAGATTCAGTGTCCGGTGAGAACTTGCTTCCTAGATGGCCATCTTTGAGCTGTGTCCTCAATGGCAAAAGAGTCGAAGGATTTCTCTGGGATCTCTTTTATGAGGGTACTAATCCTGTTCATGAGGACTCTGCCCTCATGACCGAATCATCCCTTCAAGGCTCCACCTCCTAATACGATTACATTGGAAGTTAGGATTTCAACCTATGAATTTGTCAGGGAAGTGGATGGGTGGGACACAAAGAGTGTATAGATAGCACTGAGCGTCTTCTAATGAAATTATGTCCTGTGCATAGAAAGCATCCACTTTCTGGTATAGGGAGGTGCACCTTACCTACTACCTACTTACTAAACAGTCCCGTCCCAGTAGCACAAATTCTAAGACCTCTACAACTGCTGTTAAGTAGGGTGTTCCACAGTAGAATTCATTAAAGACAAATGGACACCTGGAAAAGGCAGGGGATATGCTGTTTTCAAAGACTCATGTGGAAAATTGGGTAACAAGAAAATCCACAAATAACTGAAAAGTTCATGAATCAGATTAGACATTCCCAAGGCCACAGTCACCCTCCTGGTGAATTAAATAAGTGTATCTCTTACAAGTAATCAAGCTTAGCTCTTAGAATTAAATGGGTTTAGCTCTTTGTGATACACAGTATAGCACAGGGATTGTAACGCTCTTTATCACTATATTTACATGTGTCAAGACCTTCAGTGTATCCAACAGCTCCCTTGAATCTCTAGCAAGTAGTCCTATGCCTCATGTGTTAAACCTCTTAGAAAGTAAAAACATACCACCTGCCAGGAACATTTTATAGAGATATAATCTATTTGCAGTTTTGACAGCCATGCGTAGGAGGTTGATTATACTTCTTGATTAGCTTTCATGATATATTCAATATGAGGAGCAAGACCCATTATCATCTATGTCAGTTCTTCTGTGTCAGACTCTTCCAGGAAACGTTTTTTTCACCCCTGTTTCCCAAATGCCTGATGTGATCCCTCTGACAAACATATTTCTGCTTGACTATTTCAGCACTTTTACGTAATGGAAAATTTCACAAACACTTGCAAGAGATCTTTGTGCCCTTGGTTGTTCGCTACGTGGATCTCATGGAGTCCTCCATTGCCCAGTCAATTCACAGAGGCTTCGAGCAAGAGACGTGGCAGCCTGTCAAGTGGGTATCTTGCCTGGTGTCCATGGAACATCTGTCTCTTCAATCCTGACCTTATGACTTTACACGTGGCCGTCTGTAGTTCTTGCTTATGGTGGTCCCTTCCCACGTTGTTTGTTTCTTTACAGGAATATCGCCAACAGTCTTCCCAATGTAGCTCTTCCAAAAGTTCCAAGTCTGCCTCTTAATCTTCCACAGATTCCTAGCTTTTCTACTCCTTCGTGGATGGCTTCTTTATATGAGTCCACGTGTGTATTCCTCACTTATTTCCTGGTGGTGTGTGAGCTAGTGCATGGCCTGGGCTGTGTTCTGTGCACATGTGTTTAGATTGCATGGCATTTATCATCGTTGGTTGAGGGACACTATGTTTTGGTTTTGTTTGAGTTTTTAAGCTATTAAGCTAAGCTTAGCATAGCGATGATAAATGATGCAGTTTTGCTTTTTTTTTGTAACACTCATTGGATTGATGTAGCCTGTATGTAATCTGTTGGTCCGAGGTCATTTTGCAACCCAGGTTGTAGACTCCAGCCTAAATCATAGAGTTCAGGCAATCAATGTGGTACCAGTATGTCTAGGAACCTTAGTTGGCTCCAGCTTTGTTACTTCCCACATAGGTTCTCTTGCACATGTAGAAAACCATTGTAAGAACAGTTTCAAGAATATAATCCTTTTTTCTTAGTCTCACTTTTAAAGAAATAATATTGTAGGTTGCAGAGAAGTGATTGTCCTTTATTTCCTAACATGAGCAAATTCTTCTTTTGTCCTTTCACATATCAGTTGATGTGACCCGTTATTTTTAAATAATCTGTGTATCTTTAAAAACTGTATTTATTAACTCCACCTTGTGATAAGCCTACCTATTGCAGATTTGGTAACTAAGGGTCATTAAAACGAAAAGGACACAGGCTTTGAAATTGAGCAGCACTGAATTTAGACCCTTGCTCGTTATTCATTAAGTTCTCTCCTACCCTCAGTTTCCTCAACTCTGAAATGGTTATGATACGTAATTTAAAGACATTTTTGTGAGAAGAAAAAAGGGGAGAGAAAACTATGAAAAGTTCCTGGCACACCCTAGGCTCTCAATCATAATAACTACTCCTATTCTACATTATGATTTTATTGTCATTATTACTGTCATCAGTCATCATTATTCATGATTGTATAGTTTTCAAAAATATGAGCCTCATAGGCAACAGATGAACTCAATAATAGTCCATGTTTTGCCCAAGATCTCCCATGAAGTCAGCTAGAAAGAATAATACTAGAGGAAGAAAAATAGCTACCATTTATTGAGCATTTATTATGTCCCAGTTACAGTGCCAAATCCTTTATCTCATTTAAGCCTTATAACAACCCTGTGAGGTAAATGTCATTGTCCCCGTTTTACAGTTAAGGAAACCAAGTCCTAAAGAAGGTAAGAAACAGAACCTGCCCGGGGTCTCACAGTAAGTCAGTGACAGAGGTGAGCTTCGAATTGAGGTCTGCCTGACAACCAAGCTCTCACTCCTCTCATTTATGTATCAGGCTTCCAGAGAATATACTAGCTAAGAACTTGTCCAGCATCCTGTGTGACAGTCCTCCCACCACTGTTAAACCTGCTCCCAGTCAAGGCTGCATACGTTCAAGAAAAGAAAGACCAAGAAAGAGAAGAATAACTTGCAAGACAGCTTAGCAATACTTCTCTAAGTTAAACATCGTCACTGTGCCCGTGCTAATTATTAGGATGTTGGGTTACATGTGAATCTTTATCAGGCAAATGCTTTGGGCACTTAAGGTGTATAGAGTGGTGTGTGTGTGTGCTTGGCAATTATCTAGGAAGTATAATGAATCTAAGTTGATGTGTTTTTGTGCTTCTTAATACTGTTTTATAATTTCACTCCTCTTCTTCCTCATCCCTCATCTGTTTCCCTCCCCCTTGATTTTCACCAAGAACACCATTGTGGGCATTACCTTGTGAAATTTAGATTTTTTTGTCATTATTATTTTATTAGCTTTGAGGTATGTCTGAAACCTGAATCTCATTATTGGAAGCCCCTTTTTAAAATGACCCTCAGGACACGAGTCAGGACAGACTGTGGCTTTGTAAATAAAGTGCTCATATTTTCATCATTCTGGATAAATAAAAAAATATGGTATACAAGTTAGTCACTATTATCTTTTCCTGCTAGGATTATCAACATTAGGCTCTTCAGCAGGGTGCTCAGAATTACTTATTAATGTTATGATGTAATCACAACTAGTTGTTTTTTTTTTTTTTTTTATTTGCAGGGGGAGGGGAAGAGGGAGTTGTTAAAGATTTTATTTTTATTTTTTAAAGTAATCTCTATTCCCAATGTTGGACTTGAACCCACGACCCCAAGATTAAGAGTTGCATGCTCCACTGACTGAGCCAGGCCAGGTGCCAGTTTTTTTAATTTTTGTTATAAAGCATTAAATACCGCCCGAATCGTTCCATTTCATATATATAAGGAATTAAAAGTACAACACAACTATGGCTTTAAAGGTACATCCTTATCTATTAATGTACGTATCACCTTACAAGGTTCTCCTCCCCATCTTCCTTCTGGGTTTTTTTCAGCTCTAAAAGTAGATGCAGTAAGATAAGTTCCCTACTGGTGGTTTTAGGAAATTATCTCAGAATCCATTATTCACATTTGAATTCTTTGATCTGTTAATAATACTTTCGGAATAGGTGACTGATTAGAAATAATTTTAAAATGAAAAAGTTCTGAGTAAATTGCAAGGTATATATTCCAGCTCAAGAGAAAACCTATTTACATTTTTTTATCTAAGTATAACAAACACTTGTTACCGTAATTACATTCCCAATTAAGCACACTTATTATTCTAGAGTCTTACCATAGCATCAAAGAACAGTACATATATCCATACTCTCTGTAAAGATTTGTTATGTGTTATGAGAAAGTCCATTTTCAATAGAATTCCACCTTCACTATTTCAGAGTTTGTCTTGATGGTGGTTTTGTTGTTTTGTTATGCTGTGAAGAATACATTCATGTTGCAAATAGCTACTTATATTTCTCCACATAAATAATGATAAGTAGTAGGTTTGCTTCTTTAACCAATTGTATTCAATTACTTTTAAAATCTAGGTCCTCTAATTTACCGCATTGTATACTATGGATATATAGGAGGATTTTGCCTGGTCATTTTTTCCTCTTATTTTTATTCTATATACGGCAAAAGGGAGAAATAAGTATGGTGTTTTTTCTCACATTTTTCACATCGACATCAACATGGTTTGTCTGGTTCTTTTGATTGATGGTAGTTTGGGGGCACTGATATTTAAGGTGTGAAGAGATATTGAGTAAAGAGGTGGCATCAGGGCTTTGCTGCGATTCTCCCTTTGAGAATTAACTCTGGGCATATGTTGGCTAGGCAAGGAGACCATGAGGAATTACAGGCAGATTGGGAGAAGAAACACAAAGTAGGCTGGTAATGCAGGAAAGATGCTGAGGTGCAGGTGGTGGAGGCAAATGAGCATTTAATCAGCCAGAGAAGGAGGTGATTTTTTTAAGCCAACTAATTAAGATATATTTATCCAAACAAAGTGGGTATTTAAAAGAATTTTATTTTTATAGGGGCACCTGCATGGCTCCCTCCATTAAGTGTCCAACTTTGGCTCAGGTCCTGATCTCACAGTTCACGAGTCTAAGCCCCACATCAGGTTCTGGGCTGACCACTCAGAGCCTGGAGCCTGCTTCGGATTCTGTGTCCCTCTCTCTCTCTGCCCTTCCCCCTCTCACCCTCTGTCTCTCTCTCAAAAATAAATAAACGTTTAAAAATATATAGGGGCGCCTGGGTGGCGCAGTCGGTTAAGCGTCCGACTTCAGCCAGCTTGGTAGGTCACGTGATCCGAGGTCTCGTGAGTTTCGAGAGCCCCTCAAGAGATTTGGGCTGGTGGCTTTGGAGCCTGAGCCCTGCTCGATCTCTGTGGCTCTCTGCCCTCCCCGCGTTCATGCCTCTGTCTCTGTCCCTAAAATAAATAGTCAAATGCTGAAAAAAAAAAATAGAGTGCATGCTTGAGATGAGTGAGTGTCTGACGACTAGGCATCACGATTCAGGTCCGTGCAGCTCACTGTTTGGTTGATGGAGCCTTCATTCTTCTCTCTGTCCCAAAAAATAAACGTTGAAAAAAAAAATTTTTTTTTAAATAATAATAAAAAAATATATATATAAAAGAATTTTACTTTTATAAAAGTTTTCTGCTGTGCTTTTGTGATAAATTATTTTATTTCTCTGATTTTCTTTTGCACACCCAAAACAGAACTTTTAGGTTAGTATATGTGAAACATTTATGGGAAAGCTGAGGAGAATCACATGCCAGGGCTTTTTCCCTTAATTAAGTTTGCAGTGTTTTAAATTTTTTTTTTTCAACGTTTATTTATTTTTGGGACAGAGAGAGACAGAGCATGAACGGGGGAGGGGCAGAGAGAGAGGGGAGACACAGAATCGGAAACAGGCTCTGCACCTGGCCTCCCTCAGCCCAGAGCCCGGACAAGCGGGGCTCGAACTCACGGACCGCGAGATCATGACCTGGCTGAAGTCGGACGCTTAACCGACTGCGCCACCCAGGCGCCCCTCAGTGTGTTTTAACATAAGAGCATTTTACTCTCAAAGCATCTGTTTCCTTATTAGGCTATATACTTGCATAATGGAAAGGAGTACTATTATCCTTTGCCCAAATGTTATATGTACTTTGATACGAATTACTTTCCTACACGGGGTGAAGCTTCAGTCCTCTAAGTAATTTTGCCACAGCAGTGACCACAGAGCAGATCTACGCTCCACAGTTAGATGGATGGAACAATCTGAAATACGTGAATTGGTTTCCACTACAGAACACCCTGAATGTCATTTCTCTGTTAGACTGTATAGATACCTCGTACTGTTAGGTTGAATTATGAGCGAGAAAAGTCAAAAGGCATTTCAAAATGGGCATAAGATTTGCCTCCCTTCCCAGCCTGTTATTCCACCGGCAGTTCCTGTTTCACCTTTACCCATAATTGAGAAATTTAAGGATCTTGTACCCTACATACGTGTCTGTAGACACACAGAAGCCGTTGTGATGGCAAAGACACATACATAGGTATGAGCAGAAGAGTAAAGATTCCAGTTGCTGTCATATGGGTTTTCTTATGTAAAACATACTTTTCGGAATTTCTAGGAGGAAACATTTATGAATTTTATCTTTATCTTAAAGATTGGTAAAAAGCATTTGAAATGTTCTTCCCTGTCCAATCTGATTTATTTTCCTTAGTGAAGTACCCTTATCCATTCTACCCCTTTCTATGAAACTTTACTACTAGATTCATTTCTATTTTGTTTTGGGTGTTTTGCCTTACCTTATTAAGAAGAAGTGAAAAGGAAGAGATTTAGAAGGTTGAATAAAGAAAATACCAATGATTAAGGAATTTACCTGCTATTTTGTTTTTTTTTTGTTGTTGTTGTTTTTTTACTAATGGCTATTGATACAGAAAGGAAATCACAATGTATTGTTGATCTCATAGCTAACCATGGCCATTGATGATGCTCTTTGTGTTTCCTTTTTCTTCTAGCAATGGCTCGGCAACATCAGAAGACCTTTTTTGGAAACTTGATGCACTGCAAATGTTTGTCTTTGATCTACACTGGCCAGAACAAGAATTTGCCCACCACTTAGAGCAAAGACTTAAACTAATGGCCAGTGATATGATAGAGGCCTGTGTCAAAAGGTAGACCTGTGTTTTCAAGTCGCTGCTTAGTATGCCAGCAGCCAAAGTGGCACTTTTCACCAAGCACCTGTTACATAATTGTCACAAGGGAAGGTTTCGTTATGTACTGCTATTACAAAATTTAATGGACATGAGGTTCTCAGACCTAAATTCTGGGGACTCCTGTAACTGACAGGCTTGACCTGAAACATTTTTTTAGGCCTCCTAACCATTGCCCTCATCAGTGGCATCCGTACTATATTAATCATTTCTGTTGTGCTTATTATTGTCTCTCTGGGAATACTGTGCTTTAAATTCCCAAGGCAGTACTTCTGGAGACATACGGAAAAGGTCTGTTAAGTACTTTATGCATTATGCACTATGTACGCTGTGAAATGGCCTGGCAAACTCAAATTATGCTCAGTGCCATTGGTTCTTCCGTCTTCTGGTAGTCTCTATCAGTATCAAATAAGTTCCAAGTATCCATTTACATTCTCCAGAATTTAACCAGAAATAAATTATGAGGCTTTGGATTCTTCCAAATGTGCTTCCTTTTTTTTCTTTTTTTCTTTCTTTTTTTTTTTTTTACATTTCCTACAAAATCAGCATCGTATCTCTCATTAGCCAAGCATTGTTTTTCCCATTGCCCTTATTCATGACACATATAAGGACAATGTGGGCAGCATATTGGAAGAAACACTGGTTGGAGCAATTGAATAATCCTGAATTCTTCAAAGGAAGAACAATCCTGCCTTTAGAATAAGGTTTAATGGCTTCCTAAGGCAAGGCCATGAATTAGATTATTTAATGTTTAAAAAATCATGTTTGTCATATGTGATTCTGATGTCTCAAATTTATGGAGGTTCTCTGGATACTTTAGCAAAAATAAAATTCCAAATTGCCTGTTCCACAGTTTCTTTCAAACAGCTATCTACAATTATGGGTATTTGAAAGAAAACCTAAGTGATGACATTCATTATGATGTTTTAGAGTTTTCCAGACTTGTACGTTTCTTTATTTGGTAAACTCTGATGCAGAGGATTTGTTCTGCTTTAATGCAGAGAAGTAAGTGGTTTTTATACTTGGAAATTAATCCAGGCAGTTAAGTAAAACTAAGACGTCTTTCCGTTAAGAGTTATACACTAGATGTAACAAATAGCTTCATTTGGGTAGAGATACTGTCTGCATGACTGCAAAAGCTCTGTGTAATATAAAATATCTCTGTGATCTCTCCTGTGAGACACCTGAGAAAGAAGAGCTTCCCATCCCCTAGCTCCCAAGCAATGCAACACTCTGTATTTGCATGTTTTAAATTAGCATCTTGTAGTGTTGATTTCACTTTTACTGAACAGGTGACACATAGTTCAGAATTACTTACTATGAATTCATGTTTTAATAACTAGAACAAGAACTGCATTTGAACTCAAGCTGCAAAAGGCAAGCAAAACAACTGACTTGCGCATTCCAGCTTCTGTGTGTACAATGTTCAATGTCTTAGTCGATGCCAGAAAGCAAAGCGCCAAACTTTGTGCCCTGGATGGAGGACAAGAGGTAAGCGAACTGAGTGTCACATATGGATATGCAGCATGGGATACTGGATGCTGTTTCCAGAAGTCTCTGGTTTGATTAGATTAAAAGACCAAGGTCTCCAATAGAAGTGTTTGATCTTTTCTTTACTATAATAATGGAAGGCCCTTTATCCTTTCTTCATGTCAGTTTCTTCTTTTTTATATGAAGACTGCCTAAGATTTTACAAGTGGCCATTGAATTTCAGATACACCTTTTAACAGCTTAGGTGTTGTGTTTTTACATAAACCTTACTTTTCACAAGCAAATAAGAAAGCTAGAAAGCTACCTGCTTTGTTTATACAAATCTAGAGTATCCTGAGTTTGCATTCAAAAGACAAGGCACAGAAATAGCATATGAAATATTTTATTTATACAAAAGTTTCCATTTTTTTAAAGATCTGGTAGAAACGTACTTTAAAAATTAGGCTTTTTTTTTGTTTTAATAAATATCCCATTGTTTCACTTCAATTCATGTTTTGTTTGGTTCTGTGTTCAGAAACAGCTTATTTACCTTTTTGTTGAGAGTGGCAGTTGGATGAAAATGGATCTATTTTTCTTAGATTATCTGTTTAAGTTGACATTTTGTTGCCTCTTTTCTCATTGTAATTACTTTTCATCATTTTTTTACTCTTCCCCTATGTTCTCCTTCATCATCTTTTTTTTTTTTTTTTCTCCATGGCATGATCCAGTTTGGTAGTCAATGGGTAAGTCTGATTTTTTGTTGTTGTTAAAACACACTTTCATTTGAATTATTATTTTTGTAAATGTACATTTTTAAATTTTCATCTTTTCAAGTTAAAATAACGTAATTAATTCCATTTTCTTGTTTATGGTTTTTATATACATGTATAACACTAATGACTCACCATAACTTAGCAATACCCAGAAACACATTAAAGTACACATACTTATACCTTAAATAATGTCACGGGGAATGTTTCCTCCCTGTTAGGCTGCAGAAACACAAACTGCTTTTAGATTTTTAAGGATAAAATTATTTAAAATGAAATGAATTCACCCTCCTTTAAACAAAATTCTAAAAAAATTCAGAAGCAGAGTGATTATAACTATTTTCAAGGTGCATGTATCTGTAGTATGTACTTCCACTAATCCTAGAAAAATTTGGAGTTTGGGGCTTTGGATGACATAAAGTACATGTCAGGGTACCTCTAAATTTGAAGACCGGGAGGCCATTCCTAAGGTCGCTTCGTGCAGAAGAACCCGATTGTGAATTTCAATAAGGTACATGCCCACCAGTGATACAGTCTTTCCTCCCACTCATAGCCTGGGAAGTAACCATCATCAGAGGCAGGTAAGAGGCAGACTTGTGTCAGGAGCCTTTCAGCTCCTCCCCGCTACACAAGGTTGTCTTGAGTTACCACCCAGAACCTCAGAGGGACATGATTTGAAAACTTATATGCCTGGATAATTGACTAGATATTACATAAATACATGTAAAATAGGGGCGCCTGGGTGGCTCAGTCGGTTGAGCGTCTGACTTCGGCTCAGGTCATGATCTCGCAGTCTGTGAGTTCGAGCCCCGTGTCGGGCTCTGTGCTGACAGCTCAGAGCCTGGAGCCCGTTTCCGATTCTGTGTCTCCCTCTCTCTCTGCCCCTCCCCTGCTCATGCTCTGTCTCTGTGTCAAAAATAAATAAAACATTAAAAAATAAAACAAAATAAAAATATGTAAAATATATATATATATGTGTATATATATATATGTATGTATGTATGTATGTTTTGATAAGTCAGTGTTTTTGTGCTCTCTGGGTATGTTAAATCTTACAAGTCTTAAAGTTGCCACCTGGGAGTCCAGCTCAGGGTGAGTCTACTAGGTTAACGATTCTCATCCAAGCAGAAGGGCTTATGTAGCTCTGAAAAAGGATAAGAAGGCCCACTATTGGTGAATTTCATACTTATTTATCCCAGACATAGACATTAACTATTTGGCCATACTTTATGTGCATGCACACATATTTCATTCTTTAAGTAATTCAAGAGGAAAAAATACATTTCTAATACCATAGCATACAACCTTACAGCTGTATTAATATTATTATATAATATTATATAATTTATTATAATAATTTATTATTTCTAATTATCTGAATGAGGAAGCAGCTGGCTTGGATATCAACAGCTCATCTCTACCTTTTCACATTTTTCAGTACTCAGGTGTAAGCCTTTGATGGTATACTGTCTTAAGTCTTCATAAGCCCATCCATTTCTTATCAGGTTCATAGAATCATCTTGCCTCTTCCCATTAATATTGGATTTACCCATTTGTTTTTATTTTAACATACACAGCAGTACCTGACACATAATAGGCACTTAGTAATATTTGTTGAATGAGCAGACTGTTATGTTGTCACTACTTTAAAAATCCTCCCCTGTAAGAAACAACTTGTTCCAGTACTAAAAAAGGAAAAACAGGCACACAGGCAGATGACAAAACATTGTTGCATTGTCAAATGATGTCTTATGTTAACAAGTAGATGGTTTTGAAGAGTAATCTGCTACTGTTCATTATATTTGCACCTGTACCTTCTCACCAGAGACAATTAGTTCCCCACAACTTTCACACAATTAATATAGTTCAAAATGTGCAGGTGTAAAACCCATTAGCAACTATGAAAAGTGGTAAACAAGAATTTCAGTGCAGAAGAAGGATTTTATACTTTGCTTTTAATCACCAGTAAACAGACCCACATAACTGCACAGGCTTTCCCTCTCTGTGCCTGAGATAAGTTTTGGAATTGTTGCAAATTAGCAAATACATTACCTGCATAGGTGAACCAGTGGACCCCATTCTGTAGTAAGCAGCAAATTAAAAACTCAATTATTGCACAATCTGGAACCTTGTGAAATATATACTTACACATAGGTAAACCTAGTAGAAAGATTTTTCTAACTTTTAGGGAATTGCCTCGCCAAAGTCCCCAGTAAATTTGTTATATGCCGCTGCTGAGATAAGACCTTCTCAGCTCCTTTCCCACAAGGCAGTGCCTTCTGTGCTCCTAAGTGAGGATTCTGTTTTCTCACGTGGCACACGATGATGCAAACGTGCTCAACCGCAGCCCAGAATGGTGTTTAATGGAGTCATTAGTGAGCGAATGATCCACTCATGTGACAGCTATGCATAATGAGTCAGCAGTCTGAGGCCAGTTCCTGAGGGACAGATGTTGAGATCACAAAACCACCAAGTGTTTAGAAATCTTCACTCTCCATAAACTGCCTGGGTCTTAGTCCTCAGTGCCGCTGTGTCGGATGGCCCATCCATTGAGGATGAAAGCACATTAATGGAGGCTACTTGTGCAGGATTTGTTCTCAGCTACAGTAAAATGTTTCCATTTCCAGAACTAACAATCCAATACCTTTCAAATTCTTCCCAAGAGAAGGACAAAATCTTTTAAGAATGCTGATCATACTGGCATTTGATTAGTCTTCATTTCTTGTGTGCTTACCTTAACAACAGTCAGGTGAAATGATGATATTTACCTAAGTGTAGGGAGACCAGGATTTCAGACTCTTGCCTGATCTCTGAATTCCCTGGGCTCCATGAAGTAAGAATTCTTTAAAGGTTAATTTTAATCTAAAGTCAGAGTCATCTGCTGGAGAAGCAGGGCACATACACTTCATTTTTCAGGGCAGATGTAGGGAGAATTATTCTAAGAAGTGAGCTGTAATTTGCCAGAACCCCGGTATGTTAGGGTTAGCGATCCAACTTGAAATATTCTGATAGAAATTTTATAGGTTTTTATTGTTGCAGACCAAAAATTTGCAGATTTTTATCAAAAATTCGGTCTGTTGGGGTGCCTGGGTGGCCCAGTGGGTTAAGCACTTGACTCTTGATTTCAGCTCAGGCCATGATCTCACGCTTCTTGGGATTGAGCCCCGTGTAAGGGCTCTGCACTGGGATTCTCTCTCTCCCTCTCTCTACAGCCCTTCCCCACTTGCATGGGTGCATGCACATGCACACATCTCTCTCTCTCTTTCTATCTCTTTCTCTCAAATAAACTTAAAACAATGTTTTTTTTTTAATTCAGTCTGTTAATGTAAATGAACTATCTACCAGTTTTAGGTTAGGTAATGTAAATGTCTATGCAAATAAATTCTGTTCTTATCTGTGATCTCTTGGTATGCTTTGTTTGTGTTTCTCTTTGGAAGCTGTCTGGATTCCCTGATGAATAACTCTTTCCAGCTAACCTTCTATCTCTATGTGGCATACGTGGGTTATTCTCTTTGCAGAACATATATATATATATATATAATGTGAATTCTGAGGCTACCTGCCCAGTTCATGCAGACCACCTCTACCAATTGTGCAACTAGAGCAGATTCTGGAAGTTTTAATATTAGTGAAAGTTCAAGCTAATCAGATAAATTTACAATAGCAAAATCTCATGTTATAAAAACCTAACAAACCTTATGCTATTTGGGTTTGCCCCTTGGGTAGTACATTTAATATACTTTTCTTCCTTTTTAATTTTTTGTTTCTCTTTCGCCTTCTCCTCCTCCCTCACTCCCTCCTTCTCTCACTGCTCTTGGCTAGATAAGATGTCAAAGAAAATAGCAATTTAAAGGTGTGTATAATAGGAGAATTTGATGGCTCCTAGGGTCCATGGCTTTCCCTGCCTTTTGATAAAAAGGGTGTAAGGAACCTTCTTAGTGGCTCATCTCTTGATTTTAAGATGTGCCCAAATCGATCCAGTCTAAAAGTTTAACATGTAGAAACTCTATACTTTTATATCCAATAGCCTTCTGATGACATCTGATTACTTTTGAGTTAAAAAAAAAATGTAATATATGGGGCTCCTGAGTGGCTCAGTCTCTTAAGCATCCAACTCTTGATTTCAGCTCGTCATGATCTCCCAGTGGTGGGATAGAGCTCTGCATTGGGCTCTGCGCTCTGGGCCCAGCACAAAGCCTGCTTGGGATTCTCTCTCTCCCCCTCTCTCTCTGCCCCTCCTCTGCTCATACTTTCTCTCTCTCTCTCAAAAGAAATAAACACTTAAACTTTAAAAAAATTTTTTTTAAGTTTTATTCATTTTTCAGAGACAGAGGGAGACAGAGCATGAGTCGGAGAAGGGCAGAGAGAGAGGGAGACAGAATCTAAAGCAGGCTCCAGGCTCTGAGCTGTCAGCATGCAGCCCAACCCATGGACTCTGAGATCATGACCTGAGTTAAGTTGAAGGCTTAACCAACTGAACCACCCAGGTGCCCCTAAAAAATTGTTTGGGTGAAATATATGACAGAGGCACCTGGCTGGTCCAGTTGGTAGAACATGCGGCTCTTAATCTTGGTGTTGTAAGTTCGAGTCCCCGGTTGGGTATAGAGATTACTTAAAAATCATTTTTAGAAATCATTTTTAAAAAGTGAAATGTGGGGGTGTCAGGGTGGCTCAGTTGGTTAAGCGTCCAACTTCAGCTCAGGTCATGATCTCACAGTCTGTGAGTTCAAGCCCCATGTCAGGCTCTGTGCTGACAGCTCAGAGCCTGGAGCCTGCTTTGGATTCTGTGCCTCCCTCTCTTTCTGCCCCTCCCATGCTCATGCTCTGTCTCTCTCTGTCTCAAAAATAAATAAAAACAATTTTTTAAAATGTTAAAAATGAATAATAAAATGTGCAACAAACATAAACATATCAAGTATATATTTAACAATTTGGAACTGCTCAGAGGTCTGGGCACCTTGATCCCTACATGTTCTTTCCAGGGAAGAGGGAGGTGAGAAGCTTAAAGCCCATCTCCTGTATCCCTTTCGGACTCTACCCCAAAGAGGAACCTCAGTCTGGTATTTCACTTCCTCCTGCTGCACAGATACAAATTTGGAGACAGAAGGATATGAAAAGAGAGTAGCAGGGAGGGAGAGCCTGGGCAGGGCTCATTTGCATAAGCTCCTCACACCAGGTCAGCTGTCCAGCTTCGCTGGGGGACCCTTTTTGTACCTGTGTCTGTAGGGGGCTTCCCAGCCATCTCAACTACCAGCCAGATTCTTGAAGCTCTTTCTCTTCTACTTTGTTTTTCTTTATTTTCTCCCCTTTCCTTTTCCTTCTCTTCAAGATGTTCTAAAAGTAAAAGAATCAACACTACTATAAGAGAAATCTACCCTCTGTGTTACTGTTCCAGTCGTCTCTGGGGAGCACAAGTTGGGGAATCTGTACGGCTTTCAGTCAGACAGACACATAATATTTCCCTGCATTAGGTGAAATACATGTCTGGAAAGCTCCATATTCATATGTGTGTGGTTAATTTTAGACCAGTTGTCAACACACCCACTTACACATGCAGAAAAGGAAATTCACGGGCTCCAAAATTATGCTTCCTTTATTATTTATGCTGGTAGATAACCACTTGTAACTGGCAGAGCCACTGGGGGAGAATCATTCCTATGTATTCCAAAGCAGAACTAAGTTGATGTTTTGTTGTGTGTGGAAACTTTGAGACATGTTTTCAGAAGAAAAAAATAGCTTTCAAAAACTTACATCTTAGGAAACCATTCAACCAGCAGCTGTTAAGTTGGTCTAATGTTTATACTGACCTGAGTACTTTTACTCTATGCATTATGTTAGCTGTTCCAAGAAGCCTTGAACCATCAAGATAGGGTTAGTCTTTACAAGTCACATTTTCTGTGAAGTGGCTATTGGGGACAATCAGCTGTCAGATAAATGCTTCTAAAGGAAGAATTAGTGTTTAAATGAATGTGCCTTCACACACTGCAGAAGCCGAAGCTCCTGCTAATTTAAGAATGCAACTCTCTAGTATTCTCTAAAGAAAGCAAAAAAAAAAAAAAAAAAAAAAAAAAAAGAGGCTTTCAGGTTTATTTTAAATACATCTTTTTTATATTTACTTAAAGGCGTCTTTCTCATGAGGAAACAGCGATAAAACTATGGGGAGTGAGTGCTGTTCCATTATACCTTTTATGGCCTATTAATTTGTTACCATCTATTCACCTTTGTTGATGAAATTTTAATTTTGCCCTTGCTTGAGCATATTGTAAGAATTGTATAAACTGCTACTCCCTGCACTGACAAAAACGGTCCTTTGAGGGGGAACAATTGGGAGCTCATTTTATTTCTAGAGCACATTTAAAATAACTTATGAATGAGAGTTGTCAGACACGAAATGCTGTATTAATTAAATCTTTTTCTAGTCTTTTTGCTTCTTCAGCTAAGCCAACCCTTTAGAAAAATACACGGCCACCTTCATTATAGAGAAGAAGACAAAAAGTACCCTTCACATTCCTCTGCCTGAATAAGAATAAGAACTCAATTCATCTATATAATAACCCCATTAGCTGCTTAACTCAACAGTGCACATGGGAAAATTTTCAAACCACAGTGTAAAAAGTGTTGATTGGGTGGATCGTTTTCAAGGTTTTGTTCTTCTGGTGTTCAAAATGATCATTTTAAGTAAATCCGATATGTCCTAACCAGTAGCTTTAAAGCATTTCTGACTTAATGACAAAAGTTTCGTGTCCACATCAACTAACGCATCTTTGTCTTTTAACATCCAGCAACAATACCATTCGAAGATAGATGAGTTGATTGACAACAGTGTAAAAGAAATCATTTCACTGCTAGTTTCAAAGGTAATGTATTATTTACTCACCTTTTTAAATCAAAGTCAAAGATATATTTGGCTGAGAGGTTGTAGAAATGTCTGTGTTTTGTTTCAAATACCTAAGTGAGAAATAGTAGTTTTAAAAATAGATGCAAGAACCGATCAGATTTTAAGAAGTTCTGAACCAAATAGGAACACTCTTTGTCAACAACTTTTAATGTTTTTGTTTGTTTGTTTACAATTCCTTTTGGCTTTTCTTGCAATTGTTGTCCTTCAAAAAATAACCGCGTCTTCCAGTAAGACCTATTATTTCACATTCATGTTCTCTTACTATCTATCTTATCTGTTTGACTGATTTGAGTCGTCACCAGTCCTTGAATGGAGCCTGTTTGTTGTGACAACAGTGCTGAGGCTCTAGGCTGGTCTCAGGCAGACAGAGAAAGCTGGCCGCCTGGACTCTGATGTTCTCCACTCCCGGGAAGGCTCCCACGATTTCCAGTGTGAGGCTCCAAACACCTTTGACAAAGGCTCTGGCCTTTAATTGTGTAAGTGGAGATGAAGCATAAATGAGTATTCCATCAAATGATTAGATGAATTAAAACCCCACTGAGGTGTAACAGACTTCCACGAGTGACACTTGAGATCTGGGTCTGCAAGGGGAAGACATAGAAAACGGAACTCAAGAGGGTAAGGAGCCAGAATGGACATGGTCCAGGGGCACATTCACATGAGCAGATATAGCCCTTGCTCTTGCAAGGCTCGATCAAAGGACCTCAAATCAGACTTCATAGAACAATTGGAAGAATGTACAAAGAGCAAAGGAAAAAACACCCTTAACTTAATAAACCAAGAACATGTTACTTAGAAAATAGAGTGATGCCCAATAAGCATTAAAATTGTTAAACCTCATTAATAACTTAAAGAATGAAGAAAAACTCGGGTGCCTGGGTAGCTCAGTCAGTTAAGCATCTGACTCTTGACTTTGGCTCAGGTCATTATCTCACTATTTGTGAGTTCAAGCCCTGCATCAGGCTCTGCACTGACAGTGTGGAGTCTGCTTGGGACTCTCTCCTTCTCTCTCTGTTCCTCCCTCTCTTGCTCTCTGAATGAATGAATGAATGAATGAATGAATGAATGAATGAAAATAAACCTAAAAGAATGAAGAAAAATACACTATTTTTTCTAACTCGTTTTTAAGCTAACACTTGGTTGTAGAAAAGGTGAGCTGGGACACTCATATTTCCTGTCTATGGGAGTATAAATTGTTACAACCTTTGTAGAGATAGTTTGGAACTGTATGGAGTACTTTAATACCCTTTCACCTAATAATCATTTTTGCACTTTTTTCTGTGAAGAGAGATGCACAAAATGTATATACATTGATATGGTCACATTACATTTAATGAAAAATTGGAAACAACTTTAATCTCTAACAGTAAGGGAAGGTGAAGTAAATTATGGGACATCTATATTAAGAAACTATGTTTTCAGAGACTATTAATGATAAAGGAAAAGTTTCATAATATACTGTTAAGTGAAAATGAAAGCTTAGTATTTTAGAAATATAAAGTATGATACAAATTCTCATCACATAGAGAAAAGATGTTGACAAAATGTTGACAGAGCTTCTCTGAATGGTGAGATTATACTTGATTTGGGGAGAGGAGTCTTCTTCAGGTTTTGTTTTGTTTTGTTTTGTTTGTATTTTCCAAATTCTTTCATAGCAAATCTTAAGATGGAAAGTAGCCACAAAGATGACTTTAGAATAGCACCACCCCTCCAGTTTGTTCTTGGTCTCCTGACTTCTTCTACCGCAAGAATTATCTATACCTCCACATACAACACACACTCCCCAACAATAAGTAAGGGAAAAGGTTAACAGGGAAGCCATCCAGCAGGTGGTGGGAGAAGTGAACCCCTGGAGAACAAAGCTCCAGGGAAGGATAGGAAGGTTTCCCTTCTCCCAGGAGCCTACGTGCTCCCCTCAGCCACGTGCAGCCCTGCACGGACAGCCCACTGAAGTGAAACGTGCTTAACGTTGCACCTTCGTTGTCTGTGACTCATCCGGGCAAATTTTACTCGGCTGGTATGGCCTCATCTTCACAGTTCTCCTGTGGAAGTTGTCTTTTGTGAGAAGGGGTCATAATGGAAGTCATTAAATTGGTCGGGCGCCTGGGTGGCTCAGTTGGTTGAGGATCTGACTCTTGATTTCCGTTCAGATCACAATCTCAAGGTTTAGTGAGTTCGAGCCCCACGTGGGCTCTGCGCTGACAGCGCGGAACCTCCTTGAGATTCTGCCCCCCCCCACACACACACACACACTAACTAAATAAATAAATAAATAAAACTTACAAAAAAAACTTAAATTGTGTGATAGCAAGCAGTTGGTAAAGGGTTAAATAGGCAGCAAGGAAAAGAGACTAGTTTGGGTTTTCCATTGGTGGGAAGTGGTGGGGGGAGGGTAGGAAAAGAGACTAGTTTTCTCTTGGGGGGGCGGTAGGGGGAGGGCAGAGAAAGAAACTAGTCTATTGGTGGGGTCAGTGCTGGGGGAGGGTGACAGAGAAGGCAGGCAGGGCTCTGCATGCTTTTCTGACAAAGTAAAAAACTGATTGTTTAATATCAGGTCTAGGTTAGTCTTTTTCTATGGATCATTTCTATGGATCATTTCTCCTATAATCTAACAGTACTTATTAATAATTTTCAATTCTTTGGTTGAGAATTATAAAATAAACTGGCTCGACAGATTGAACCAGCCATCTTAAGCTCCCACAGGAGATGACAGTAAATGGTGGGTTTTTTCTTTCATTAAACAAACACAGATAATCTGCAATACAGTTCTTAAATGTTAGCGTGCCAAAAAAAATTACCTGAGATCTTGTTAAAATGTAGATTCCAGGGGCGCCTGGGTGGCGCAGTCGGTTAAGCGTCCGACTTCAGCCAGGTCACCATCTCACGGTCCGTGAGTTCGAGCCCCGCGTCAGGCTCTGGGCTGATGGCTCAGAGCCTGGAGCCTCTTTCCGATTCTGTGTCTCCCTCTCTCTCTGCCCCTCCCCCGTTCATGCTCTGTCTCTCTCTGTCCCAAAAATAAATAAACGTTGAAAAAAAAATAAAAAAAAAAATGTAGATTCCATGCCCTGCTTTCCAACAATTCTGAGTCAGAAACTTGGGAAGAGGAGCAGGAATGTATGTGTGTAACCAGTCACCGTGGTAATTTTGATATAGAGGTTCAGTGAGCCAGACTTTGAGAACCACTGCTCTGATGAATCGCTTATCCAGGCTATCCTGTGAAAGATCTTTAAACTTCCGTATAGTGTTTAAAAACAAAACAGCTTCTAAGATGGTGTGTTCACATTTGTTTTCTCTGAAGAAATGATATTTTAAAAGGAGGTATTTATGGGGATGCCTGGGTGGCTCAGTCCCTTAACAAGTATCTGACTTCAGGGGCACCTGGGTGGCTCAGTCGGTTAAGCATCCAACTTTGGCTCAGGTTATGATCTCGCAGCCCGTGAA